TCTTTGTGCATGTGTTTTCCACTAGTCTAGTCTCACCTTGTCAAGTTCATGTTCCGGATCCTTACCCTGTTGATCTCTTGTCCTTTGTGCATGTGCTTCCACTAGTCTAGTCTCACCTTGTCAAGTTCATGTTTCGGATCTTTACCCAGTTGATCTCTTGTCCTTCGTGCATGTGCTTCTACTAGTCTAGTCTCACATTGCCAAGTTCATATTCCGGATCTTTACCTTGTTGATCTCTTGTTCGTTGTGCATGTGCTTCCTCTAGTCTGGCCTCTCATTGTCGAGTTCATACTCCGGATCTTGCTTTGATGATCTCCTTCCCTATGAATAATGTATTTTCCATTGATCTAGCCTCTCCTTATCAAGTTATTCCAAGATATACTTATTCAATCTCTCACTATGTGATGGGTGATCGACGTTTGGTTGCTGCTACAGGGAGCTGATTGGATTAGGAGTTCTTCTTGTTTTTTTCTTTCTTTCTCTTTTTTTTTTTTCCCTCTCTCTCTCTCTCTCTCTCTCTCTCTCTCTCTCTCTCTCTCTCTCTCTATCTATCTATCTATCTATCTATCTATCTATCTATCTATCTATTTCTCCTCTCTCTCCCCCACTCTGTCTCTCCTTTCACCTTGCCCCCTCTCTCCCTTCCCCTCATTTGGCATATGACTAACCCTTTCTCCCCTCACTTGGAAACATTGTCAGAGTACGAACGGTAAACAAAATCAAACTTCACTTGGTGGAGAAAGAGGGCAAGGGGAGGATAGCCGGTCCTTTGTGCCACCAAGGAGGCAAAAGAGAAAGTACGTTTGAAAAAGTGGGAGAAAGGCGGGATCCGGAAAGAAGCATAAGTTGAGAAAGAGGTCAGTTTAACTCAACCATTTCCCCGACTGCATGACTATGAGAAGAGAATGGACTGATTGAGCATCAAGAGGGAACAAAGAGCAGCATAGGCATGTGGGAAGGGCTATGTGTTCAACCCCAACGGAGGATTGTATGGATTCTCTTGCTTGTGTGAAATTGTGCAGGTAAGTGGTGGCTAGAAATGCCTTGAGCGGGATAGGGGCAAGAGGAACTGGGCACCGAGAGTGAAAGGGAAGAGGGACAAAGGGGCTATGGGACCCTTGACATAGAGCCAACCCATGGGAATGACTTTTGTGCTTGAGGACTTGGAATGGAAATGAGAGTGCAATCATACCAAGGAAATTGTGATGTGATGTGTGCATGCATACGAGGACCCCGAAAGGACTAAGGGACCTACTTCAATGAGGAAAACAGCAAATTGTGAGACCGATGGATGCGTAGAGGCGAGGGGGAGGACGGCTCCGCCACACCCCGATGACGCCAATAGTCACATTGCTTAGGGAAATGGTGCGTGGCCTAAGGATGACGCTTAGCCTACGCACAAGAGAAGAGAAACACTCAAAGAATCCTTGGACTGCCTGCGTATTGGAAGGAGCAATTGCATGAGAACACCCCAAAGAATCAAAAAAATCAGCGTTGCGGAACGACCAGCGAGACTACCACCCGGCGTGAGGGTTGAGCTACATCCCCAATGTCAAAGCTCTCTCGCGCGATGGCCCGCCCCCATCCATCTCAAAGCACTAGGTGGGGGTGACCTTGGGACGAATGGCCCGCGCCCTGAGCATGAGTGTGGGCGGGCCGAGCCAACTGGGACCCACAGTGGGGTCGACTAAGGCTCGAAAGTCTACCGGGGTTTGGCCCTACACCGGCCCGCAATACCAATCAACAGTGGGGTGCTGAGTGAGGCTGGTTAGGATCTAGATTGCGGGTGATCAATCCTTCCCTAGCAAGGGGAAGTAATCAATGCCCCCGCTTACAGACTACATAAAACTCATAGCGTTCATATAGTTCTGATTGATGATTGATATAGATCATATACATCACATCACATCACACCATCGTTAGGGTTTCAGGTTTGGTTTTTGATACYGGCCAGAAAACATCACACACATCAGACACATATTACACATACAAGTTTGGGTTTCGTGGATTTGTATAGGGGTGYTGGACCTGGTTTCCAGCTGATACACTCTGATACAGTYACATCATTGTATARGGACGCTGGACCCRATTTCCAGCAGACACATGTTCATAATTGTACAGGGACGCTGGACCCGATTTCCAGCAGGTGTAGCTCCCCACTAATAGATGGAGCCTTCGACGCCGGGACCTACTTACCGGGGATGCTCTTATCATCTCGTTAAGAAGGTTTCCCGTATAACGAAGTTTCTTTAAAAAAAAATATATATATATATATATCACCAGTGCTCTGAGACTCCCCAACAATGACAAGTGGGGTGCCTTGCCCCACGTATTCATCCTCTGAAGAACTCTACTTTGAAGGATCTCCTCTTGTTGCATAATGCACGAAGTGAGTCCCACCTGGACTCCCAAAAATCTCTCGGACTCGTCTTGCTTTTTCCTTCTCATACCCCATTCTACTGCAGGTAGGGATGTTTCCGGTAGGAAGTAGACAGACTTTGACTAGTTTATAGCTGCTTCCGAGAGCAGTTCGTACTGGCTGAGACACTGGCGTAAGGCTGACATCGAATCTGGTTTGTTCTTGGTGACCGCAAATAGATCATCTGCTAAGGCTTTCACCTTGGAGACTTGTTGGCCCAACTGTAAGCCAAGTATTCCTTCGTGCGCCCGGATGTTATTTAACGGGACTTCCAAGTGAACCACGAAGAGGAGTGGCGCCAACGGGCATCCCTGTCGGAGGGAACGCGATATCTTGAATTCAGCTGAGATGTGGTTGTTGAGTCGTTGACCATAACTGAAGCGGTTGAGAGCGAGTACAGCGCAATCACCCAGGTACAAAAATTATCCCCGAAGCCCATCCACCTTAAGGTAGTCAGCACATATGACCAGTTTACCCGGTCATAGGCCTTCTCCATGTCGAGAAGCATCACAGCTACATCCAAATCTTCCCGGGCCACCACCTCCAGCACCTCTATTGTTGTCACCATATTCTCGTAGATCGACCTCCCCTTCACGAATGCTGCATGATCCACCACTACCAGCGAAGGTAGGTATCTCCCTAGTCTTCGTGCCAGCACTTTCGCTAAGATTTTGTACGAGACATTCAGCAGCGAGATCGGTCTCCAGTTTCATTCTCGTTCGTGTCCCCCTTTTTAAATAACAATGAAATAATACCTTTGCATGCACTAACTGGTAGTCTCCCTCCCAGTTGGATCTCGTTGTACACTGCAACTAAGTCCTCTCCCAGCACCCTCCAATGTTGCCTGTAAACTCCGTCGGCAGACCGTCATTCCCTGGTGTCTTACCACTAGCCATTGCCTTCAATGCCTCTTCTGCCTCCACCCCTGTGATTGGACGATCCAGATCCAACCGACCTTGCACGCTCAGTCTGACCCTCGTGTTATCCCTATGAGCTGAGTTTTCTGAAAGGTTAGCGTCCGGTCCCTCCTCGCTCCTTCTTGAAGTCAGGATGTCTCAGTAGTAAAGTACTGCGTATCTGCAGAGGTCCGTTGGGCCTACTGCTGTTGGCTCCTCTTCTTCGAAGGGGTGTCTCAGTTCCTTCATGGTTGGTGCGGATCTAGCCGGGACCAGTCTTTGGAAAGTCTCTCGTGTCATTCTGTCGTACACCTCCAGGCCTTTAACCTTCAACATCTCAGTCCATTCCTCTAATTCTTCTGCTGTAGCGCATCCTAATCTGCCAACCTACGCGCCCTTTCTTTCCTCCAAGTCCTTTCTGAGATTGGATGCTGTTTCATTTTTTCCTCAGCCTCTTGCACCCTTTTCCAGCACCTTCTTTCTTCTTTGTTTCTTTGCAGAGCCAATATTCTAGAGAAGCAGTTCATGAAGTTGGATATGATGTTCGTTCCCCCTTCCCACCATTCTGCCAAGGACGGGAAGTTCTCCTTCTGCTTGTCCCACCTCTTCCAAAACTCGTAGGTCCACTCATTCATCCCTTCCACTCTCAAATTCGCTGTGTTCAGCTTGAAATAGCCACTGCCCCGAGTATTGTCCCGTCCCAAGTTAAAGACCCCTAACACAGGCTTGTGATCAGAGATCGGGCTGTTGATTGTCGCTACCCTGAGCAGTCCCTCTTTTAGCATTCCCGTTGTCAGGAGGTAGTCTTACCTCCTACCCCGCCCCGATGAGAGAACCACGTATATCCTTGCTCCGCCGGGTTAAGGTGGCGGTAAGAATCCTGCATCTCTAGATTTGCCATCAGATTGCTCAAGGCCAATGAGTCTTTCGGGTACCCGGACTGATACTGATTCATGTCCAAGGAGGTATTCAAGTCCCTCCCTAGCACTATGTGGTCTACATCTGGCAGGATCAGTCTGAGCTCTTCAAAGAAAGTTATCCACTCTTTCCTGTTTACCGGAGCATAAGCCCAGATCAGGTCCCCCTGTTTAAATACCACCCAGGCCCAACGCCCCCACAAGTCTGCGAAAAAATCTACAATATATGGGCCTAAGTCTCTGTGGATCAAAATTTTAACACGGTGACCCCCTTTCGTGCCTTTAGTTGCCGACCATAACTGCGGACCGTCCCACCAACTGCCGAGAGCCTGGATTTTCTCAGCGTTGAGCTTCGTCTCCTGTATACACGCAATCGAGACTTTGTTATCATGCAGCCAGAATTTAACTCTTGATCGCTTATCCCTACCCGATGTATCCCCGAATCCTTGCAGATTCCATGAGACTACTCGGTATCTAACCATTCCTAACGTTCTTACCCAGAGGCATTTGGATTTGGGCAGATGATGAAGCTCCTCCTCCGCTCCAACTTTGAGTGAGGGCTGAATGCATAAATTGAGAATCTAACCTCTTATCCTTGGGAAGGCGGATTTTTAATTCCGCTATCGCATCTGCTGAAATCATCAGGGGGGAGATCAAGTCTGATCAACAGTCTTGCGAGGTCTTGCTTCTTACAATCCGCAAACATGGCCAACGGGACAAGACGAAGCCCTAGTGCTTCGAGCTCCGTAACTTTACTATCAGTCAATCTCGCATCTACGATTGGCAGGTAAAACTTAACTTTGTTATCAGTAGGGCGAACAAGATCCTAGGCATCGGGATATCGTTAATGACTCGCATAGGGAAGGCAAATAAGTACAGCGTTCTCAGGCATTCCTCTATTGTCGCTAACGTCGGTAGCTCCGTGACTGCTTGTGCGAAGAGGGTTGGACCACCTAACCCTTTTTGCCACGCAATAACCCACTTCGCGTTCCTAGCCTCAGTACACAGGAGAGGAAGGAGATATTGTGGGTCTGTGGCATCTCTGTTCCCTGTGTTCGGGCTGCCGATGCTAACCTTCTATCCCGAGTGGTCTTGTTGCCTGGCGTGACGGTCCCCACATCATGCCCGGCTGACTTCTCTGAGTCGTCTCTTGATATTCTTGAGCCTCTTGAGTTCTCTGGTGTTACCTCCGGTTGAGATGACATGCTCAATCTTCGCTGCTTTCCCAAGCCTCTACCCCTTGATCGGTTGGGGGTGCTAGTCGATTCCTGCTCTCCCAGTGTTCCACCCATAGCTCCTCCTCCCCTCGAGGTTCCCCCCAGAGTATTACCTGCTCCTATGCCTGTTCGAAGGCCGGAGTTTCCCTGTACATAGCCGTTCATGCCCGAGGTTCCTATCGTTCCTGTTCCAAAGCCACCTTGGCTGGGGCCTGATGTGCCCCCCACTCCTGTCACCTGATTGCCCGGCGGTATCGGACTTGGAACTCCAAATTGTCCTGTTGGTGCCGCAAATTGTACTCTGAGTCCTCCTGGTGTGTATCCGGGTCCGCCCCCACCTGGGTTGCCCAGTAGCTGTCCCGCACCTGGCCAGAGGCCTGGTACATATCCATTTGCCAAAAACCAATCTAGGGTCATGCCTGCTGCTTGAGTCCCTGCAGCTTGAGACCAGTTCCCGGGAGCCATGCCTTGCGCTGGAAGGTTGTTAAAGTAAAGCCCTCCTACGCCGCTTCCACCTTGTGCTTGCATCTGTCCCGAAGCTGAGTTACCCATGTAACCGGGCTGCCCTCCTCTTCCTCCTCCTCCTGGGGAGAAGGTAGGGTTGTTCCTTAAAATCCCGCCTTGTAATCCACTCCCCTGCTGTATCGACTGTGAAGCCGTCGGCTATGTCCCTTGAGGCTGGCCTCCGCCTGTTCGACTTGCCGCTGGGTACTCCTGCTGGCTTGGCGCTTGATTTAGCGGGTTCGACGCCCTTTCCCCCGGACCCTGATTTCTAGATCTCGTTCCTCTTCTGCAATCGTCCTAAGAGTGAAAAAACTGCCTGCACTTCCTGCATCTCAACGTGCCTGCAGAAGCTAGACGTACCTCCAGCGTGTCCCCCTTAGAGGTTTCAATCCAGATAACATCCTTCATATTCGGCCTCGAGTCCGGATCGAGGTCAAATCTTGCGTTGACCAGCGCTGGTCTGGCTGGATCCGTGTCCGCTGGGTGTGCCAGTAAGATCTTACCAATTGCTTTCTCGATTTGCGCATAGATGAACGGCATAGCGTCCAGTGGAATTTGGATCGCCGTTACCCAAAAGACCCTATCGTCCTCTTGCCTCCTTAAATCCCTAAACTCTGTCGGGGTCATCCAGGGCTTAAATAAGATTTTGTTAGTTTCCGCGCCCAAAGTCACTTCCACCTGACCTTCCTCGATCATGAATTGTGCCACCTCACTTGCCTTCGCCACATACGATGCCACCCCCGGGCCCTCAATCTTCACTCTTCCTCTTCTCATGTTTCCCCCCAATCTCTCATTTCCCAAAACCCAGCCATCCTCAAAGGCCCT